CTGAAATAAGGATTAGATCACCTGGTTCCATATGCTCGTAATGGACAATGAGATACTGGCTTTGATCATCATGGGGATGGAGAGAATTCACTCCAAAGTGGACTCTCTGCCTCCACCTACTGCCTATCCCATTATTGAAATGAATGCTTCTAACATTCTGCACCCGGCAGGAAGGTGGGGGATGCTGCCAAAAACAACAGATGGCCATCAGTTTGGTTTAGTACTCCCTCCGCTATAGCCAAAGAATTTCTCAAGTTGTTATAACCAAATTACAAACAGAAATGTGAAGAGTCACACAGCATTTGGGCCATGTCCCCTTTCCCTGCCATGTTGTCTGAAGTAGAAGGCTCTACTCCTGAGAATTCATACGGCCAAGCGGAAGGTGCCAAGCTGGGGGGAAACAACAGCAGTTTCAAGTTCAGTGAGCCAACTCTCCCTCCCCGACCTCAGAGCAAGAACACGCAGTCATAGGGAGGACTCAGTATTTAGAGCCTTGGTAGCAGAGTGGGTACTCCCAAACTTTAGAAAGGTACACACCAGAGAAGCCAGGAATGCACAATGCAACTATCTTAATCCCACTAGATAGTGTGTCATTTCTCTAAAACGAAGTTCCTGAGAATTGTTGAAATAATTCAACTTTGGCTACTCTTCTGTGGAGAATGTCTTCCAGCTGTTGACCTAATGGAATCAAATTTAAAAGAAACAAACCAAACCACAAACCTGATGGAAAGCTGTAAGATGTCTGCCTTGGATTCTATCCCTGGTCTGTTTCTAACTCCCTTCTCTGAGTCTTGAGTTCTTCACCAATTCTGAAGCCAGACTACACGATTTCTCATCCCACCCAGTTCAATAACCCTGTTAGACTTTACACCTAGACACCCAGCCTTCTATATGCTACTTCGGTTTGCAGAGTGAGGCTGACTGCCACGACTGTGCCTCAGTAGCTTTACTGAGCGGGCATGCACACAGGTACTCTTTACCTTTCAGAGGAGGGGGTAAGCACAGCCTACCGAGAGGCAACATGCACTACTAACTTCTGTGGTGGTCCATGATACCTATGGCACCTGAACAGAGCTTCTGTAAAATCAAATGCATCAGTAAGTGGTACCCCATCATGTTTTTTAAAATTCTGCAGCAGAAATTAAAAAAGATCTAAAAAAATGGAAAGAAATCTCAAGTTCATGGACTGGAAGACTTAGGAGAATGCAATCCCTATTAGAATTCCAACAGCCTTTTTTGGGATGCAGAAATGGAAAAGCTGACCCTCCGATTCATAAGGAGCTGCAAGAGGCCCTTGAGAGTAAAAATAATATTGAAAGAAAAGGACAGAGTTTGAGGACCCACATTTTCTGATCTTACTATGTATGAAGCCACAGCTATAAAAACAGTATGGTACCAGCACAGGACAGGCACACAGATCAACAGAAGAGAATGGAGAGTCCAGAAACAAACCCGTATCTCTCTGGCCAGCGAGTTTTGACAAAAGTGCCAAGCATTTGTTTAGTGAGGGAAAGAACAGTCTCTTCAACAAATGGTGCTGGGACAACTGGATATCTACATGCAAAGACAAAGCTGGCTGCCACCTCATACCATATATAAAAACTAACTCAAATGTGACCTAAATGTAAAAGCTAAAACTGTAAAACTAGAAGAAAATATCTGAGTAAATTTTCATGTCCTGGGATTTGGCTATGGATTCTTAAACATGCACCAAAACATAAGTAACAACAACAAAAACAGATATGGGAACTCATCAAAATTAAAAACTTATGTGCTTCAAAAGGCATTATAAAGAACGTGGTTAAAACACACAATGGGAGGAAATATTTGTAAATCATATAGCTAGTAAGAGTCTATTACCTAAAATGTACAGAGAACTCTTGCAATTCAACAACAGCAAAATAACCCAATTCAAAAATGGGCAAATTTTTGGCCCATTTATGGGCCAAAAGGACTTGAATAGATGTTTCTCAAAAAAAAAAAAAAAAAAAAGATGTACAAAAAACATGCAGAGATAGTCAACCATTAATCACCAGGAAAGTGCAAATCAAAATCATGACTTACGAAGTATCATAAGTGCTAGGATTTAAAGAAGATAGAGCTGCAACTCCCACACATTGCTAGTGGGAATGTAAAACAGTGCCCCCGTCATGGGAAACAGCCTGGTGTCCTCCAAAAGTTGAAGACAGAACTGCCTTTACCAGTCCAATTCCATTCTTAGGCATACATATACCCAAGAAAAATAAAAACTTGTACACAAGTGTTTATAGCAGTATTCATAAAGGCCAAAAGGTGCAAACAACCCAAATGTTCATCAACAAACGGACAAATTGTTGCATATTGCATACAATGAACCATTTAGCAAAAGAATGAAGTACTAATACATGCTGCAATGCAGCTGAACCTCCAATTCATATGGTAAGTGGAAGAAGCCAAACACCATTGTATGAAACACCCAGCACAGGCAAATCCATACAGACAGAAAGCAGACTGGTGGTCGCCAGGGGCTAGGAGAATGGGGACACAAGGCGTGACTGGTTAATGGGAATGGGATTTTTCTTTTGGTGTAATGAACTGTGAAATATTTTGGACTATAAATGGTTACTTTTAATGTCCTGTACATTTCTCAATTAAAAAATATCTAGATAAACCACTTTTCAAGCAACTTAAAAAAAAAACCTTCTACATAGAAAGAGAGCATAGCAAGTGCTGAATTTCACTCACAGAACAAATGTTTATATAAACTTAAGAAAAATGAGTGAAGAAATTAGAACTCTGAGAAGAAAACAGACTCTCAAGCAAATAATTACATTCCTAAAGTTCTGAGTATTCCATGTATTTATGTGCCAAAGACAATGAAACAATTAAAAAAATAAAAGCAGATTTCATTAGCATTTTGGTGTGGCAGTTTTAAAACAAGAACAAGCAGGGTTAAAAAAATGAGTGTTAAAAAGATAGGTATGTTTTATGTACTGTCTTCATCAATAAGGGGCTTATGGAAGATCTGGAAGAATCCACAGTAATAACGCATCTTCCAAGTGGGACGGACATACATAGCAAGTTTACCTCCACCATGAGGAGATAATGAAATAGGAGCAGTGTATTACAGGATGTGAGAGAAAAGTCTCAGGTTCTAGAGAGCAGACAGTTCACATTTTCAGCAAGCTTGAAGAGAGAACTAAAACCATCTCTCAACATCTTATGTTGTATCTAGTTGTTTGCTTTTTTAAATACTGCAAATTTAGCTCCATTAAAAAAAAAGATTTTGCTCAAATGGCTGAGACATGGTTTGGGATAAAAACCTTTAGTTCAGAATCTGTACTTCTCCATGGGGTGGGGGTGGGGGGTTCCCTTCCTGCTTTGATTCTTAAGCAATGGAATTCTAATGCCCAGATAAGCAGAGAAATTTAGGCTGGAAAGCTACAGAATGGACCCAAATCTCTGATCATCTCTCCGCCTTAATGACCTCCCAGGGCATCTAGCAAACCACTGGGCACACAGCTGCCAGAACAATCCCACCAGGTGGGGAGGAAAGTGCCGTTGTGAGGAAGGGGAATGAACAAAGAGTTAATCGACTCTCCCAAGCCCATCTCTTCTCAAAGACTGTCCTCTATGGTTGCTCGCCACCCAACAACAGCTGCTCATGATAATCAATGTCTGACAGATCAGAGAAAGCCCTTAATGTGTCGCCAAGGGGCAGTTCAACAGATGGCATGGTGACTTACAACCAGAATCATTAATTACACTCTCTTATTAGTCCCGGGGCACAGTGCTAAAAATGCTTCCTCAGTGAAAGAGGAGAGTTTCAGATAAAGGACCGTCTGGTACCGCCTGGAAACTCCCTTTAGGATTTTTGGTCAGTGTTGATTTCTAAATCCAAGCCATACTATTTTTACAGCCGTTTCCCATCTTTCACTTTCAATCTGGCCAGGAATATGAAGTTCCCAATACCACTACCCATCATCACTCTCATAATCACTGAAGGTAAGGATGTGATAAAAAGTACCCATCACTCATTTCCCTTCTCAAGTCAGATGACTGTGTTCAAATGCAAACAATAATTTCAGGCACAGAAGTAGCTCCATTTCCCCTCCTGCAGTACCAGAGAACAGTGTTTTCTGAGTACAGAATGCAGCGGGAGGACTATCCCCCCCGCTTATCTACTCTGCTATTTCTTGCAACATGTGATTAGTCTTCCAACTCAAAACTGTCCTCCTGTCCCAAACCACTGGCTGCAACTCTTCTCTATGTCTCTGAAGGAAAGAGGAGCAGACTCTATTGAAAAGGAAGTCTAGTTTAGACTTCCTTTCCTGGAGCAAGGAAAAGTTCCCAAATGTCCTCGATGGTGGTTGTGTTACCCCAAGGGACTAAGCACCAATGTTAAACCACCTCGTACTTAATTAACAATCCAAACAAATGCATGGTGAGGAACTAGTTCTTCCCAAAGGCATTCAGACTAATGTCAACTCAGGGTAAAAACTGGTCCCTTCCCAACAGATTGAGAACTGGGCTCCCTAAACATGACTGAATTTTACAACTAATCACAGGCATGGCTTGCAGGCAAATTACTTACTAGCTTTAGCATGATTAAGTGAGAAATAAATCTTAATATTATCCAAAAGAAAGAAAAATTTTAAGTATTTCCCAGATATCACCAAATAAACAGTCTTTGATTTTGCTGACTCCTGGTCTTTTTGTACCTCAATCTACAATTTTTAAAAAATGTGAGTTCAAACTAAAACAAGGTTAAGATCCTAAATGCTGGAATTTAAGAGTTCATCATGTGTTTCCTGCATTTCAATTTGTTCTTTCTTGGATATATAAAAATGGGACTTCAATGTTCAATTAGGTTCCCATAATTGCAATATCTGAATGATGTTCTCATCTCATGCATTTTTAAAATACAAAAAAAAAAAGGTGTTAATTAAGGCATAATAAAAACCTCCTATTCAGGCTACAGGAAACTTGGGAGGTGTAGGTCTGCCTTGCAAGGTACTCACTTCTAGTTTTTTCTCCTTTTCTGACAAAACATCTTTCTGGTTCTGGGTATACTCCACCAACATCCGAGCCAGCTGGCGCCGGTCTTCCAGTTCCGCCGCCAGGCGCCCGTTATATTCTGCTAGTAACAGACATGCTTCATCTACTGTTTTTGAAAGACGTTCAGCTGCCTCTTTGTCTAAGTACAAATGAGACCAAAAAATAAAGACAATATACAAATCACATAGGCACCATTGCAAACATTTCTGGGGGAGGTTAACAGTTTCTCTCCAAAAGTACAGAATCCAAGAATCAGCCAGAACCTGTGGATGAACACTCAACTGGCTGACAGAGGAACCCAAAGGCATGCACTCCTGTCAACAAGACAGGGCCTTTCTAAATTACTTGAAGTGAGGCAACTGTACAGGGAGAAGAATCTGGCTAACATTTCTAAGTGCCTATTCCTGCAAAAGTTCTACACATAAAACAAACAGAAAGATTTAATGTCATACATGGGACAAGTTTTCCTGGTCCTTGAGAATTTCAAAAGGGCTTTCATTCATATTATTTTTGTTACGTATTCTTTGAACAATACTCTGAAATACAAAATACAAGCACTATAAAGCACAATATGAAATACAAAAGCTAGCACTCACTTCTTGGGTGTGGACACTAGAAGGAAAAAATAATTAACCCTGGCTGGTGTGGCTCAGTGGACTGAGTGCCAGCCTGCAAACTGAAGGGTTGACAGTTCGATTCCCAGCCAGGGCATGTGCCTGGGTTGTGAGCCAGGTCCCCAGTAGGGGTTGGGGAGAGGCAATCACACACTGATATTTCTCTGTCTTCCTCCCTTCCCCTCTGTAAAAATAAATAAAAATCTTAAAAAGAGGAGAAAAAATAAATCACACAATAGGTCTGATATCACTCGCTTAGTTGCTGGGACTCCCAACCAGGCCCGTGAAACGGACCTGCTGGGCTCTACCCCTGACACTGAGCGAGCCCTGAGCTGGGCGCCGGCCTCTCCTCCCATTGGGCACAACACCCGCTCTGATAAACGGACTTCTACGTGCTTCTGAAGGTGACCCACAGTAATAAGTTTATACTCATATAAATGCATATAAAAGAAACAAATTTCATAAAACAATACTTATTTACTATGTGCAAAGTGTCCTGTCTTCTATTCCATTAGAAATAGATGCCAATCATTACCCACCAGGTTGATTTAATCTCCAATTGATGGGATGTAATTCACTGTTTAGGGAAAAAAACAAAAAACTGTACCAAAGTATCAAAGCACAACAGAGGGTGTTCTCAGAAAGAAGTGATGAAAAAGGCTCAACATTGGGAAATGAGAAGAAACAAAAGGATGACCTATATTTAAAAGAACAAATGTAATTAATTACACATGGGTAGTAGTGAGATTAGACCTTAAATACGTATACCTCATTTTTAAAAGGCCTTTAAGGATCAGAAGAATAGATGGGTGTTTGGAAACAAAGAGCATCAGGGACTCCAGTAGTTGTAGGGACAAAAAGTGAGTTCAACAGCTGCCACTATTACAAGTTGTCAGAGCTGAGAGACCTCAGCATTCTCACAGGTAACTGGGAATTAAGAATTCCCAATATAGTTTCTCTGGCAAACTGTCGGGCATTTAGGTGCCTCGGTAATATGAATATAGGGAGATGGACAGTTGAGGAATTCCAAATTAGGTCTGACCCAAAGACTGGGCACTTCTACCGGCTTCAGATGAGGGAAACAAGACGTTTTTGGTGAAGGAGAAGGAGTGAGCCAGACAAAATACGAAGGAAAGGGATGATCTCAGTCATGGAGGGCAAAGAGGACAGTGGAGGAGGGGGGACCTCAAAAACTCCGACATTTATTTATAAAAAATCGCGTATTTATTCTTACACGTTTAAACTTCAGTCACCTTCAACTACTATTTGATGCAATACACCTATCAAGATGTTTTTTCCACTGCTCAAAAGTTTTTGAACTTGTTGATTTTAATGCCTTTTAGTGCTTCTGTTTTTTGTTTCACCTCTTCCACATCAGCAAAGTGTTTCCCTTTGAGGACTTTTTTTCATCCAGGGAAACAAAAAAAAAGTCACCTGGGGTGAGATTGGGTGAATAGGAAGGTGGGGCATAAGAGACATGTTGTTTTCGGTCAAAAATTTCTGAACACTCAGAGCGGTGTGGGCAGGGGTGCTCATAAATCACTCATTGTGAAATGGGCGAACACACTGAGGCTTCAAAAAAAATTCACTGAAGCCAAACCCAGCCTCTCACAATAACGCCAGCTAGTACACTGATACAGATGGGTTCCTAGAACACTCACCTAGCGGGGGAAGCCTGTACTACAAAGGAGCCTACCCTTCAGAACATAATTCTGGTTTTTTTTTGGGGGGGGGGTGTCCTGCCTCAAATTGGCAGTCCAGTCTGGGAATAAGCTGCTGGGGTGGATAGGTTGGTTTTAGCTTTAACTAAATATTTTCAAATGGTTAATTCATTAAAATGTTTAAGTACTTGTGGCAAAAAACTGCAAGGAAATCACAAATACATAAAAATTTTAAAATGTTAATTCTCGTTCTATAAGAACTTGTACAAAGGATAATTCATTCACACAAATAATTCAACCCAGAAAAATAACTTGTAGTAGCTTTATAAGCTATAGAAAAAATGCAATCAAAATGCAGCTGCAAGATGCTCACTTCAGAGAACTTACCTGTGGTGGTCCGCAGGCGCTGTGCCCTGCCCGCTCCACGGAGGAACGGCCGTGTGCCTTTTAGCCAGCCCTCCCCAAGTGCACAAGCACCCCATTCCCTCGTGTGCACTCCGAGTCAGTTTCTGCATACGTCCTGTTTCCCTGTGCCTCACCAACTTCTCTCCCGCACCCCCAAAGCACTACCATCAGCATGCAAACATGCTGCTGTGTCTCTGGACTTCGGGCCACTCCCCAACTACTGCCCCATTTCCCAGGTCCCTTTATAGCACTCCTCAAGGGAGCTGTCTATCCCCCGGTTCCTAGCTTCTCTCTCCTCCTTTCACCAATCCCACTCCAGTGAGACTTTTACACGTCAACCCCCTGCTCAAAACCTTCCAGTTGGCTTAGCAAATATCTGGGCTTCTACTGTATATAGAGCATCATTCTGGGCTCTGAGACAGCAGGGACACAACACAAAGAATAAAGCCTTTCTGCTCCAGGTTTACACCCTCAGGTAGACAGAGAAACAATATACTGTACTTTACTTATTTATCAGCCAGAGATAAGAACTCTGGTGAAAAACTAGGCAGAGGAAAAAGAACAAGGCATTGGATGGGAGAACTGTAATTTTAAATAACTTGCTCAGGGCAGGCTTCACTGAGATGATATGTAAACCAAGGCCTTAAATGAAGTTAAGAGAACTATCCCGGGAAGAGTGGGACTATTTGGGGAAGATAGTTCCAAGCAGAGGGAACAGCACGAACAAAGACCCTAGAAGGGAAGAGTGACATGCAAGAAGCCCATATGACTGGAGCAGTGAGCAACAGGAAAGTAGTAAAAATCTATGTGTTAACAGGGATCCAGCGGTTACTCTAGGGGACTGGGGGAGTGGAGGGGACGCGATCCCACTTCCAATTTAATAAATCACTCTGATTGCTGTGTTCAGAAGAAAATAATGGCTGGGAGTGGGGGACGAGGAGGAAGTAGGAAGACCCAGTATCAGGCAACTGCTAACCCAAATGAAGATGGTGGTAACTCCCACCAGGAAGTGGCAATGGGGGTGGTGGCAAGGAGTCACATACTGGTTTTGGTCCCAATCAACAGGAATAACGAGGAGGACTTTATGAAGGTGGGGAAGACCACGAGAGAAACGGATTTTGAAGGGAAGGTCAGAGCTCTGGTTTGGGGCAGGTTATGTTTGAAATGTCTATTGAGACAGCCAATTAGTAATACTGAATAGGAGGCTGGATATACAGATCTCAAGATCAAAAGAGAGGTTAACATGAGAGACATAAATTGGGGATCACTAAGTAGGAAAAAACCTCCTGTTATTTAAAGTAATTAAACTGGATGAGCTAAACTGTCAATGAACCTAGCTAGAGAAAAGGGCTAAGGAGAGGTCAACATTAAGAGATCAAGGAGAAGTGAAGAAACCAGCAAAGGAAGCTGAAAAGACACAGCCAGAGAAAGAGACCCAGAATACAGGGTCATAGTTCCCTGTGGCTGCTGTAACAAATCACCACAAACTTAGTGGCTTAAAACAACACAAACATATTACCTGAACACTTACTGCGGCCCCTTCTCCCATCTTTAAAGTGTATCACGCCCCAACTTCTGCTGCCATAATCATACCTCCCTCTCTCTTTCCTCCCTACCTCCTCTTACAAGGACAATGTCACCAGTGCAAGATCCTTAACTTAATCACACCTGCAAAGTGCCCCCTGGCACAGAAGGTGATATACGAGTATTCACAGGTTCTAGAGATCAAGAAATGAACATTTTAAAGGGAATCACTTTCCTGTCTACCACACCAAATGAGGAAGTATTTTCAGGAAAAAGAAACCAACTAGGCCAAATGTTTCTGAGGTCAAGTTAAGATGACCTCAAGTTAACACTAGGCAAAATATTCACTACTGATTTTAGCACTAGAGAGGTCATCAGCAACTCTGCTAAGAGCAGTTTCAGTAGGGCAGAATCAAAAGAGAATGAGAGGAGGGGAAATGGAGACAGATGAGCACAGGTGATCTATTTAGGATGTTTTGCTAAAAAAAAAAAAAAAAAAACAACCAGAAATAAGGCAGTAGCTAGGGAAAGTTATGGGTGAAAAAGAAACTTTTACCACACGGGAAAAAAAAAAGATGTTTTATGCTATGGAAAACGATCCAGGGGGAAAAATGGAAGATGCAAGAGAAAAGAGATCTGTTGAAGCAATGCCCTTGAGTAGATGAGAAGGAAGTCTAGCAAAAAAGTAGAAAGGCTTGTTTAGAAAACAGCAGGTTTGTCCCCAGAAAGAGGAAGAAAAGCCAGCCAATGTGTGCTGGTTGTTCTCCTCAGCCACAGTCAGCTGGGCACATTCTCAAGAGAAACAGATGAAAAGCTGGATTTAAAAATGGTGGTTGCTGGGAGCTAGGGGGAGGAGGAAGAAATAAATTGTTATTTAAGGGGCAAAGAGTTTCAGTTTCGCAAGATAAAAAGCGTTCTGGTAATTGGTTGCACAACAATGTAAATGCACTTAATACTTCTGAACTGTTACACTAAAGATTACAAAAACCTAAGCAAAGCAAAGAAAATGAGGACTCAAGAGAAGTGAAGGCTGGGAAGAGGACAGATCAGTAGACTGACTGTGAAAGCCAACAGGGTTTCACTGTCAGGCGGGGAAGCAAGCGAGACCAAATGCTTCCTGTGTGGTTTAGAAGGCCTCTATGTTGTGTTCCCCAGCTAGTTTGCTCCTGCCCGAAGGTCCTTCCATGTATAACAGTCCTTCCTTCAATTATCCCCACCATCATACCCCTGCCTTGTTTTTCTTTTTGGCACTTATGCCACGAAGAAATGAGGGTGGGACACCAAGAACACCTGATGCACAGCGCGCCTCAAATATCTGAATGAAGGAAGTATTTCCCGACCAACTTTGGTTTCCTTCAAATGGATACAGAGAAAGTTGGTGAAGCAGTCAAGGCAAGGGAATGGAAGGGACAAACCGGTGGCTCCAAGAAGAATGGAATGAAAGGCCTGAGCTTCTGTAATAGAAAGAATATAGACTTCGCAGGGTAGGTTAAAACCCCAAGATCCACTAGTCATGGGACCTTGGGTAAGACCTCTAACATCTCAAAGCCCCAATTTCCTCCTATGTACGTGGGGATTAGCATTCAGTGATCTCAAAAGATTAACTACCACAAAGAGAAGGAGAATCTGGCACAGAGCACACTCTATTAATATTAGTTCATGCTTCATTCCTTCCTTTCAATTTCTCACGCACAAAGCGAGAGTAATGACAACTGTCCCTCCCTGTTTCACTGGGGGTGATCACCAACAGGGCAAACCGACAACTAACAATGCACACCTAGAGTTCTTGGCACTGCAGACAGTATCATCCATGGGTGTGTTAGTGTGCAGCACAAAAATCACACAGTACTGAATTATAACTCTTTATTTTTTTAGTAAGAGGGTCATGAGTTTAATGCCCACCCCCCCAACCCTGACCCACACAATTTGCACAATTTGTTTTCAGCAGACCTTATTTAAGAGTGCCACAAGCTGCAACACACTGCATTTCTGTGACAACTCCTAGAATCTCAAGCTCGGATTATTCCAGCAGCTTCACTGCTTAGCGTGTGAGCTGCTTCCAAAGCCCACGATGACAGGGTGCCCAACACCAGATGGAGAGGCTACACCTGCACACTTCGATATGCCCTAAGGTTTGACGAACTGGAGCTATCTTTCACCCAAACTCTACCTTCTTACCTGTTATTTTTTCCAGTAGAGAAACATCTTGTACTTCCTGGGGCAAAGAAGCAATTTTCTGGCGGACAGTAGCATCCCCTGATGCGGCATTTTCCAGGTCTTGCAAAGCTTTGATTAGTTCCTCAGTCTATGTAATAAAACGCAAACACTATCCGTTAACACATATGGGGCTTTAAAAAAATTAGCTGAAATTAATGAGGTGGAGGCAAATGGTATTGTAAGAATGACCATTCCTGACATTCAAACCGACGTGGCAGGGCTTCTGCAGTATGGAGGGAACAACTCAGCACAGGGATCCTGGTGGTCACCCCTCAGCTCTCTCTTCAGAGCCAAGGACCCCAGACTCCCCGAATGCGGCTCTAGTCTGCTGTCCTTTCTCTGCCAGAGCCCAGATTTGGTGGAGAATGGGAGGCCAACAGATCCTGCAGACTGGGCCTTAATGAACACCATCCATTATTTCTGAACAGCGGGATTTGAGTAGCAAGCTAGTGCTTTTCAGGAATAGGAAACTGGTGGGAAATCCATACTACTGATGACAAGAAATGATGTGTTGACAGGACTTCAGTTAAAATTGGGATGTGCTTTGAAAATCTATGAGTTATTACGTAAAACTTCTGTAGTCAAAGCATTTAAAAAACAACTCACAGTACAGTAAAATTGGGGCCTCAGATCTCAAAAAATGCATAAATGAAATAACTTAGTTTCATGTTATGAAACTCTGTAAACAGAATACATATGTGTGAATATGTAAAGAATATCGACCAAATGAAACATTATCCTACTGGGTAGACTCAATCCATCAGGTGACCTGAATTCAGCTGGAGCAGCAAAGAGGGCATGCAGACAGGATGGTCTTCCCTGTGGAGTTTGTCAAAGAGAACGAAGGGAAATCAGTCTTCAACACAGTTAGATACTCTTCCCCAGAAAAGCTTTGAAACCATGAGGATTTTCTTCATTTCTTCAGACAGCTGTCTTGAAACTCATGGAATGCGCATATTTTGTTTACAGACTTGGGGTGAAAGTGAAAGGAGAAAGGGATTGCTGTCTCCCTTGAATTCTTCTGCTCCTCAGAGCTTGTGTTATGGGGATGGAATTGCTGACACCCCCTTTTATGGAGGGCCCTCCACATGACCTTATTAAGGTTCCACTGGAATATGCTGTGATGCTTGAAATAAAGCATATCTTGGCCCCTCCGGAAGCAGAACTGTGGCTCTGGAAAGAAAAGCTGTTGTGTGTTGGGCATATCCATCCACAATCAGCTAGCTTTCACAGGGGGCTAATGGTATGTTCTGCATAGAACTGCTTTTAAATTGGTTCTTTGTTTCCAAAGAAAGCATTTTTTCACTTTATGACTGTACTCATAATAAGTTGTTTCTGAAGAAATTTGCCAAGAGTTACAGATCAAAAAGCCTTGTTACTAGTATGGAATATTTTTATATATATTCCTTCACTATGGTACAACAGTTTTAATTGCTCTGATGCTTTGTTTCATTCCTGGTTTGAGTACTTGTTTTTAAGACCTTGAAGCAGTGGGCTTGCTACATCTATGTTAAAAGAAACAGTTGTTCAATCTCTGTGTGACAGCCCTTGTTGGATTTGTGTTTTGTGGTTGCAATAAAGCACTGGTTCAGTTCAAAAGCCCATGGCAGAACATGAATAAAATTCTACATCCTTTCACAAAAATCTATTTTTATAAAGAACATTTTCAATTTACAGGATTGAAAAAATTCCAAGTCCAAGTGCAGTATAAACATAAATCCATGCCAAAGTCCTGGCATGCAATGACAAAGTCAAGCCCACTGCTTGGCAAGCCTCACCTGGTGGGTCTTCACCCAGAGCCCAGAGAGATGAACACACTATTGGTCACTGGCACCACCTTGTGGTCATAAACTCCAACTAGCAGTCGCTTCACCAAACCATTCCGCCCTGGCCTCTGGGGGTCAAGACTTACCAAGAGGGGTCCTGCAGAAGGGTCTTGGGGAGAGTAGCTTCCAGGGTAGTCGTCATCCTCCTCCTCTTGTATCTGCTGAAAAGTTCTCTTCAGAGACTTCTTCTCCTCTGTGGCTACAGAAAAGAAGAAAGTGACAAGTTTGATTCACTAAAGCCTGCACGGGTTAAGAGTCAAATGTTACGCACAATGGGTCACATGTAAAAAAAAAAAGGCAGGAGGGGTCCTTTCCAGAGATAGCTTAACATTAACCTCTATGCCAGTTACTTTAAATAGGTGGTACATTACTGGAAAAAAACTACAGAAAACAAGTATCTAAAATCACGTGAAACTTACCAAACTAATACATTTCATAAAATACTTCATTATCTTAAAAAAAAAAAAAAAGGTTCACAGGAAAAGTAAAATGGTAAGAAACCCATCAGACAACAGAGTGAAGGAAGCCGACGTGTGCAAGGGTTTTTAGGGAATATGTCGCATATAAAATAAAATTCTTTATGCTTTCTAGGATTAGTTCAGAAAATAAATAGTAGAGTGAAACCTATCAATAAAACTGTGTCAAAAACTCAAAACACAAATATCCTTTCTAAAAACAATTTTACCTTAAAATTAAAAATAATCATTAATGAGAAATATGATTGATAACACTGGGAGTAATTAAGTTTCCATTTTAAAATTAACCACTTTTGAGGCTAACAGATTACATTTTTAATTATTTGTATTATATGCTTTTAAATTATGATAAATGTGTTAATTCTAAAATCACTTATTTTGCATCAAACTGAATAATACAAAATAAATGCCAAACAATCGTAGGACATAAATCTCAATGATAAATTAGGTTTGCAAAGTAAAAAACTATCAGACAACCAGCATGTGTCAGGCATGGCAATAGTTTCTTTACATTTCACCTTTCCAACAATTCTAAGACGTCATATTTCCATTTCACAGGTGAGAAAATGAGGAGGACTCAGATTAAATAACTCATCTAAAGGTGTGCCTACAAAATCCGTGCTCTTTCCACTCCACTCCAGACAAATTACTCAGCGCCACGCAATCACCCCTCTAGTCTGTCAGATGAGGAGCCACTACGCATCTGCCTCAGAACTGAGTTATAAACGGAACGCACTCTTCTTAACTGAACATTTTCTTCTAGAACCAAGGATGTATGTAGTTCCTGTTTTCTACCTTACATATTAACTGGTCAAGCTATGTTTGATATGAAAGCCAAGTTAATATCATGGATTGTATTTTTTCTTAATGTTTTTGTTTGCTCTACCAGCAAGAAAAGAAACAACATTTGCATTACAGGCAGTCCTCACTCTGCACAGATCTGTTACTGTGGTTTGGGTACACAGCACAAGTTCCTCAACAACATGGTTCACATTTCAGTTACCATGGCATATTAACTATGAGTAACTGCATACAGAGCAAGCTTCACTACTAACTTCAGTCCACAAGTCTTTATGTAAATAACAGAAGTGCTTCATGATCAGTGATCATATCCCTCCTTCAAGGCCAGTGACTGGTTGCTGCACATCTGTTACTCAGTTCATACACAGAGAACAGAGTTGTGCTGCCTCCCAGTGGTAAAACCCACATGACATAATCAAAACAAGGAATCGACGGACAAAGATGAAAGCAGCAAAGAAACTAAGACTAAAACTAAGGAAGGAAGTGCAACTTGAAGGGACCATCAATAGAGCTGTAGGAAAACAGCTGCTATGGATAAATACGGGCACTGCCACAGGCTCCTAGACACTCCAGGTTCAAATCCAGAGGAACTTTAGCAAAGGCCAACTAACTTATCAACATCAACATAAGTGAAGAAAGTGGTTGTGATGAAAATGACAATGTCCCAGGGCAAGTGATGCTGACAAAAACCCTCCTATTAGCCCTGGCAGGTGTGGCTCAGGGGACTGAGTGCCACCTATAAACCAAAGGGACACAGGTCTGATTCCCAGATCAGGGCACATGTCTCGGTTGTAGGGGTGTGCAAGACACAACCACACACTGCTGTTTTTCTCCTTCCCCTCTGTCTAAAAATAAATAAAATCTTAAAAAAAAAAAACCCACCTCATATTAAAGGAACTCTCAGGTATCTTTCACAACACTGAAAATACAAAGAATAAAATGTTGGAAGCTGATACAAACCTGGAAAGAGTATGACGATTCACTAAGAAAAGATGCTCACTCTGTATCATTAGTTATATAAGCAAGCAGGTTTTGTCCAAAACACTCTTAATAAGTTTGTTACAAGGAAATAAACACTTTAATTCTCAATGTTTCTGATTTTTTTGTTATAGCATGCTAAATATCAGTTTTACTATCTTTCTGGTTTCCCTATATAATTGTAATCAACAGTGAAATTTTAATTCTTTAACAAAAAAAATCTTAAAAGTGGCAGAGCAATTCTTTATTGATTACGGTCTCAGCTTACACAGTCACTTTACAGTCGTGGACTGCTAAGTCCATTCAATGCAAAGACCACTGTGTTTGTAAAACAGAAACTCTACTAGGATCAAACCTGCACGTGAGATATCTAGCAGTGATCTGCACAGAGCAGCTACCTAACTAATGTGTAGTGTGTGGTATGACCCACACAGACATTTAGCTACTGCATTTAGAATTTAAAGCACAAGCCCTGGCTGGTGTAGCTCAGTGGATTGAGCACGGGCCTGCAAACCAAAAGGTCGCTGTTCGATTCCCCATCAGGGCACATGTCTGGGTTGCAGGCTAGTTCCCAGCAGGGTCGAGTTCCCAGCAGGGGACATACAAGAAGCAGCCACACATCGACATTTCTCTCCCTCTCTCCTTCCCTTCCTGTCTAAAGATAAATAAATAAATATTTAAAAAAAATTTAAAGCACAAGAACAAAAAAAGACTTTATTATTTTGTTCACTTCCAAACACCTAGCAAAGTACTCCATAAATAATTGTTAAATATACTAGAAAATGCAGAAAAAATTATAAAACTGAATCCTTTTGCATAAGGGTTTGAAAACCCTTACAGAAAAAATTTTATATATGAAAACCACACATCACTAAACCCCTCTGGACATTCAGAATCACCGAACTGGGGCACTGGTAGGCCTTAGAGAAACCCAGGCCTTTGTTTTCTCTACCTTATTTCTCATGTGAACATCAAGGCCCAGGTTTGTCCAAAGCCAGAAAGCTGGTTAGTCTGGGTCCTACAGCCAAAGTCACCTGCCTCCTAGTTTGGAGTTCCTTTTAGCACCCACTCACAGACTGACAAAGGCTGAAATTAAACTAATGCGAATAGTGGGTTCACTAAAAAGTCCGTTTATTTTTTTATGTAAGATAAAAGACACATTTTTCATTTTCATCAATAACTTTATTGATTTGGATATTTTGAGCATGTCAGCTATCTCCCATGTGGTATAATGTTAACTGTTCTCAATTAATGTCTCAATTTGATCACTATCAACTTCAACTGGTTTAACCTGACTGTGGAGCATTGTCGAGCGAGAAATCTCCAGCATGAAACTTTGCAAACCACCTCTGTCACTTCAGGTGCTCAACCAGTCACAGCACCTTCTCCATACACTGCACAAATCTTTTTTTTTGATTTGTTATGTTTTTACATTTCTTAAAATAATAAAGCATAATATGCCAAAAAAATGTTATTTTCTTCCATCTTCAACATTAAAATGGCTACACAAAATTTCACCAATTTTGACAATATTTTTTGATTCACAATGATATGACAGCTGTCACAATACAATCATACAAAATCGTTTTGAATGAAGTTAAAGACAAGGCTACTAGAGCCATCTTATGGAAAAAAACCAAACCAACTTTTTGGCCAGTCTGACAATTTTAGGGTCACTTCTGTCCTCTGCCATTCTAATGGCAGAGGGTGCAATAATAGGAGGCAACCATTATCATCCTGCTTTTCCCGTTGTCACCTATCTCCACTTGTGGGACCGACTGTAAATGAATTGTTAATCAGTCATCATTTCCCCCACTAGGGTCCTCGTTTCCTGAGCTCCTATTTCTTTCACAAACTCTCCCACTGGCCTCATCTTCTAAGTACAACACCTTGGAACCACAAGGATCTCTCCCAAACTCCCAACTTCTAGCAGATTCCATCCCTCTCTGAGGAATAGCCTGCATCTCTCCTCTTTCTACTCCTTCCCATACCTCTTACCAGCAGCAATCTGACCCTTACCACGCCTCGTTCAGACCGCTGTCCCAACTGGTGTCTCGAAGCCACTCCTTTCCCAACTTAGATTACACTCTTACTACATTAACCTTCCTAAAGCTGAGCTCTCGCCCCATCGTGCCTCTATTCAAAAACCTGGAATGGCTACTCAAGCGCAGAGCCTCCTCATGGTAATGTGATACGTCTTGAGTATGCCCTCTCTCTCACAGGCATCCTCTCCCTCTAATTCCCACAGCGTGTGGCCACTGCTAACTGGCGTGGCCACTGGCAGGCACTCGCCATACCTCTAAGTGTCTTATTCCTTTACGCCCCTATAATACCTAGGAAAGTGCCAAGAGACCTGAGTTTGAAATCTCTTGAAGGCAGAGGAAGCACAGAGCTTGGACAGTGCTAGTGCTGTGCCAGAAGTGACTGTCACTGTGTCCCTTTACAGGGGCACAGACACAGCCTGCTCTGGTAACCATCCTGACTCATCTGTACCAAGTTAGCAGGTATGATGTCCAGTAGTCTCAATCTAGTCAGACAGCCATTTAAAATAAACTAGGAAATCTACCAGTGCCCTCCCCACAGCTAATTAAGGTAAGGCGCCCTACAACTACCAATTTGGCTTCTGACCTTAGTATTGAGATTTACTCACCTCTCTGTATTCACACAAACACTGTTACAGGCAGGGCAAACTCTACAGCTAGTCGAAATCCTTCTGCCTTCACAGTGCACACCTTCTCTTCTATCCCCCAACTTGTCCCTGTGTCTCCAGGGGAACTTGTACTTTGCTAACTTTTAAGTAATCCTGGTTACCTAAGTGTTTATGGTATACCTCCTGGAAACCTGAATTTTGGTAGAATTTCAGACATTAAGGCAGAAAGTTAGCCTGAAGATTCCCAAATCACATTATAAAATGCAGTCATCTGCCTGTAAAGCTGGATCTTCTAAAAAATGCACTTGAAATTTTCTGGGGTTAAAAAAAAAAAGAAAGAAAAAAAACCCACAGATTTTATATTTATTTTATAATGAAAAAGAATCAAGAAATATCGTTTGCAACAGGTTCCTTATTCTTTGTTCTCTTCCTGCAAAATTAAGAAAAAAATGTAAGGCCCTGCCCATTAATTCAATTAGTCAGAGCATCATCCTGATAATGCCAAGGTTGTGGGTTCAATCCTCAGTCAGGGCACATACAAGAATCAACCAATGAACGCATCAATAAGTGGAACAACAAATCAATGTTTCTCTCTCTCTAGAATCAATCAATAAAACAAATTTAAAAAGCACATTAAACTTTACTCGTGTGAAGTAAAACACCTGCAACAAATCAAGGGCTGGCATTTGAAGCACAGTTATGAAAGCACTTTCTATATCATCTCACCGAACTGAGTGGCCAGGTCCAGACAAGAACCCAGGGAATCTGGGCCAAGAGCTTTCTAGTCTTGCACAAAATCTCAGAAACTAAAAATACTAATAAGTGTCCTACTACTTTTGCTACAGTTCATATTTAAAAACTCAGAATATTAGATATTAGAACTGGAGGAGACAAATAAAAGTCATGTCATCACTTGATTAACAACATCTACATTATTGCAAGTAATACAACAACCCTACCAGGTATACATACTAGTAACAGCCATGAACCTGAGGCCCAGATAGGGCAATGGTCCAACGTCACACAGCTCAGAAGTGACAAAGTTGGGACTCATACTCTGGAAGTCTGATGTCAAATCCCTGCTCTGAATAGCTACACTAACTATGTAAGATCCAGGAAAATTGGGCAGCCTGCTCCTGAATTCATACCCTAATTCAAATTATTATGCCTTCAGAAAAAAGAATGGTATAAAGGACAGAACACAGGCTTTAGCCCTGGCTGGTGTGGCTCAGTGGATTGAGTGCTGGACTGTGAACCAAAGGGTAGTGTCAGTTCAATGCCCAGTCTAGGGCACATGCCTAGGTTGCAGGCAAGGTCCCCCTGGGGCGTGGGGGGTGGAGAGGGGAGGGTGGCATATGAGAGGCAACCACACATTGATGTTTCTCTCCTTCTCTTTCTCCCTCCCTTCCCCTCTCTAAAAATAATTAAATGAAATTAAAAAACAAAAACACACAGGCTTTAAAGTCATATAGCTCTGGATTCGAATTCTCCATTATAAATTACATGTATTTGGGCTAAATTACTATACCCTTGTGAACCTTAGTATTAGTATCCTCAACTGAATTATGAAAATAATATCAAATTCACAGAGTACTTATAAAGATCTAAAATAAGTTAACATGAAGAGCAGTCAGCAGAGAGGTTGATACTTAATACATGCTCAGTAAAAGCCATTTCCTCTGTATCTGTCTTTCCTTTCTAAATTGCTCTACATCTATACAATTCTATACGATTTTCATGTTTCTCAGGTAAATAATAGTTCCAGTGAGTAAAGCAAAAGCTTGAGTATTCCCCAAAACAGAGAGGCAACTTCAGTAAAACACCTAGGTCTTGCACCTGGGGAGACAGGTAATGTAACTCAAGGAATCTCTAGCTCTGAAACCAAATTCCTAATCTCAAGTATTCTCCAATGTTAGAAGAACTCAAAGTTCCACAAGAAGACTCTTGTTTCAAAGATAAACTTTAAAGTTATCTGAAAATAAGGAACTACTCATGAATTAAAGCTGAAATACAAAAGGACTATTTAAATTTGGAAATAAACTTCTGGAGAAACCATCAATATTTTGAAAGGATTGTGGTAAAATATTGATAACTCAGGTCCAGAGAAGACAGAGTGGGTAACTAATGCACACGCTGGAACCTCCTGGTGTATGTTTCTGTCGTCAGAGAACAGAGGAAAAAGCGTCCTTAGAGCTGCACTCCCCTCCACACAGAGGAATACTGCCTCTCTTGTTGTTAATATCCAGATACTCAAAACACTGAGAAACCCAATGGAGCTATTCTGAAACCTACTATGGCCACAAATCCCCCAATTTGTCTGACTGCTCCCTAAGTGCAGAACTATTTCTCACTTCTCTCTCGCTCTCCTATTACATAGCTGTTTACCCAGAGCACATGTCTGGCAAATGCTTGTTGAATTGAAATTCAACACTTAGCCTCAAACATTGTATTTCAGAGCTCTCGTACTTGACCAATGGTATTTTTAAAAAATCAGCACTGTTTACCAATGGACTCTAAGGCAGAGTAAAGAATGCTGAGTAATTCCTCAATACTGTGTAGAATACCACCAAAGGACACAATACAAACACCACCAGAATCCAAAGTAGGAAATATCTTGCTTTTCAGAAGCTACTGTGCAGAGCGACCCCAAAATTGTTTTTATCCACTCCAAGTAAAACAACAAGGTCTGAAAGCATTGGCATCATTCTTAGCCTCTAACCTCTAGTTTCACAGGAACACCCTGCCTTAAAAGGTATGTAAACTCAGAGCCGGAAGAGATCATGGAAGGTGCACAATAAAGGGCTGCTGAATGAGAGCTATTATCACGGCTGCATTCCACAGCAGAGGCATGCAGAAGTACCAGAGGAACATGGAGGGAATGGCTACATGTGCCGGACAAGATAGGGAGGAGGTCAGGATGAGAGCAGCAGTTTTGAAGAATGAGTTCGCCACACAGTGAAAGGGACAGGAGGACATTTCAGGCAGAGGGGGCACCAACAGAGTATCCCGAGGAGAAAATGTTTGGTATGCCCGAAGGATATGGTATATGCGAGGTAATGGCAGAAGAATCTGCAAAAGTAAACTAGTTCAGACTTTAAAAGGTCCTAAATAATCTTAGTACTTGGACTGGATCTTCCAGGAAATGAGTACATGTGCAGTCAGAGCAGATCGTAGCTTAGAAACATGCCATGCCAACTAGAATTAAACCACAAGTAACTGGAAGCAAAAGAACCAGATTAATGTTTGATCTTCCCCCTGAAAAAGACAACAAGCTCTTAAGGGCTTGGTAAAACACACACAAGCACGCACTTCCCAGGGATATCCTAAGTTCGGTAGTAACCAACATCGACTTTAGACAGCAAGCTGAAAACCATCAAAAGCATGATCCAAAACCACACCAATATGTAATGAAACCAAGTTCTAAAAGGGCTGAGACTTGTCCACAATCCTATAGTAATCAATGGCAGAGCTAGGACAAAATCTTAGTCCAGGGTCCTTCCTAGCACCCCGCGAGTCTTTGTTGTGCCTTTCCCTTGTGCACAGAAAGTCTCTGAAGGGCAGGACAGCCAAGGAGAACAAAGCAAAAGTGAGGGTGTGAGATGATGAATAGCATGAATACTAGAACCAGGCTTACATGTTGTGAGCACTACATAAATTCTCACCATCATTTATGATCATCTCTCTGAAGAATCACATAATCGTTGGTGGTTCACAGCAACCCCCACTGCAGCTTTTCATATGATTCGAAAGTAGGCAAAGACCAAGAGCTGTAAACATGTGGTGATGTTTCTACCTTTGGGGGGAGGGCTCTTGGAGTCCTCCATAGACAGCTTCAGCTGCTGTATGAACTCGCCGCCATACACACTTCTTTCTTGCCAGATGTTCAGCAATCTTTCTAAAGGTTTTTTACAGCCTTCATCTGCCTCTCTGCCCAGAAAAGATGAAAAGATATATATAAGCTTAAGATTTCTTGTTTTTAATTAGGACAGATGTACTTTTAAAAAAAATCAACAACTGACTAGATGGTTTACACAATTAAAAACATAAGGAAGAGTACGGTATAATTGTGGTAAGGGGATACCCAAAACTTGACCAGAAACTACAACATTCTTCCTGCAGGGGAATGAGAGAGATTACATGATAAAAGCGATCTGTGTCTTTCATCCCCTTTGAAAGACGGGGCAAATAGGGCGAAAAGCCAGTGGCGGATTTTTACAGATAGAATCATCAAAAATTGATACTATCAACTGTGACATTAATTAAGCCCTGACTGGTGTGGCACAGTGGACTGGGCATCCTCCCACAAAACAGAAGGTCGAGATTCTGGGATGCAGGACAGGTCCCCTGTTGGAGGTGTGCAATAGACTGATGGATGTTTCTCTCCCTCTCTTTCTCCCTGCCTTCCCCTCCAACTAAAAAATTAATTAAAAAATTTTTAAATAAAAAAGATGACAATTGAAATCTAGTGCCAGACATTCTGCTGAAAACTAACGGGGACCAAAACTTTTAAGGATAGAAAAAAAAAAGATTAAAAACCACAAATGTTTGGGAATAAACGGGGAATAAATTCACTCCAACTCATCGATGCAAACACACCAATACTGCTGCATCTATAAATACAATCACATACAAATATATGCCAAGACTGATCTCAACTCTAAATTAACCACTTCATAATTATCTTAATTCTGGGCTAGGTCTGTAGTCCATGTCACCCAAAGGTGTCTAACAGATAATCTTAGAACATACTGAACATTAATTCAGTCCCTAGTAATTCAGACAGTTTTATTCTGACATGCTACACTCCTAAAACAGACGGTTTTTCAGTAAGGTGACTGTAACTCACACTTACCTAAAATATCAGAAAACAAAAGTGGAGAAGTGGGGAAGACTTTCTGAGAGGAAAACAAATTCCCTCACCACACACTTATTACTACAAATTTTTCTGGTTTGTAGACCTGTCTGGATGTCAATGATCTTGCATTGAATAACTCAAACAAGGAGGATATCCTGATGTCTTTGTATCTAAGTCAGTATCTTTAATGGGAACTTCATAAGGAATCATCCCAAATCAACTGAAATGTCAATTTCATTCACCCTCAGCCTTGACAGCACCTTTTCCTCAAACTTATTTTAACACTCAGGGTGACGTAAGCTTTCAGCCTAATCTGGTCAGGCCATATTACTTATGAATTGTTGGTGGCAAATTTCACCAACTTGGGGTTAAAGTAGTAAATCAGGGTACATACAAATTAGTAATTGTTGTTAAACTTTTTTCTTTTAGTCAGAGGTAAGGAGAAAGGAGAAAAATTCCATAAATAGTTTATAAAATTTAAAAGGTATGAACTAAATATTTGATGTCTGTGACAAAACACTTCTCCATCTTCAAAATGTATCTAGAAACAAATCACTTCTCACCTGTTCCTCTGTGGTCAAGCTGGTCCAAGCCTCTGTCGCCTCCTGCCTGATCGCTACAATACAGCTTCGTTACTGGTCTCTCTGCTTCCACTCTTGCCCTTCTACAAGCTATTATTGAGCTTAAAAAATATAATTCTAGCTGCTGTGTTAAGGCAGATCATGTTATTCTTACTCAAAACTTCCAATGGTTCTTTTCTCCCTTGGAATAAAAGTTAAAGTCCTTAAAAATCCTAGAAAGCCCATTATTTCTCAGGCTTCACCTTCTCCCCAGTCCCCCACAACAGCCACCCTGACCCTCCTGCCTCAGGACCTCTGTGCTTCAATTCACTTTGGCCTGGAACCATCCCCCGCATCCCAGGTGGTGCCTGGCTCATCTGCTCTCTCCCTTTAGGCTGGTAATTACTCACACAGCACTGTTCCAGTGAGTCCTTCCCTAATGTCCCCATTTCGAAGTACGCTCCCTACCCCTACTTAGTTCTTCTCCATACAATACATCTGATATGCTAATATAGTTTACTTGTTTATACTCTTTCCATTGTGTGTGTGTGTTTTAATTTTATTTACTGAGTTTTTAGAGAAAGAGGAAGGGGGGAGTAAGAGAAACATTGATTTGTTGTTCCTCTTATTTATGCATTCATTGGTTGATTTTTGTATGTGCTCTGATGAGGAATGGAATCTGCAACCTTGTATCAGACCACGCTGTAACCAACAGAGCAACCAGCCCAGGGCTCTTACACTTTGCCATTTGAATGTAAAGGCAGGGATCTGTCTTCAGCGCCCCCCCCCCCAACTGCTATCCACTCTAGAACAATAAATACCTGATTGTAACCTTTTAAAAAAGGTTTTAGATAAGTTTTTAGTAAATCACACAATTAGTTAACCTAAAGCAATCATCTTACTACATCAAGGTCATTCACGTCAGACTTCAACTAAGCACTCACCTGCTCATTCTATGAAGTTTATGAAATACTGTGCTTGAAATCCACAGACTTTAGGCCTTCGTTCTGACCCCAAGGGTTTATTTGACCCAATAGCCTTTCCATTCCCTACTGGGGCTTCACGTTCTAGCAACACTGGATCATATGTAATTTCTACTTGGAACTTGCTCTCTCTCGCTCATGTTATCACCTCTGCTTGGACTGGAACCCCGGAGTAAAACAAGGTGAAGAGGGAGAAGTTCGTGATTCAGGTGGTTTAAGTACCTGTGGGGGTATGTAGAATAGCAGAAGAATCTGGAGGGATAAAGTGGAACTAGATTATCAAGGGTCTTAAATGCCGTATAAAGCGTGGGGCCTTTATCCTGAAGGCAAAGGAAAGTACCAGTAATTAGCTGGTTGGTACTTTTAACATAGAATCTGTTCTCTGCAAATTCTCCTTTCACTTAATAGAAAGAGAAACCTTAATCAAGACAACCAATTTTTATCTAGGATTTAGTTAAAAGGAGAGGGAGGGGCACAACACATACGCACACACCATCCCTGGGGGTATCTGGGACTCAAGACTTTTAAGACTGATTTAAGCACAATTTCTGCCACATTACTACACAGTGGAAACTGACACTCAAGCGAGTTATTATAACCTAAAGACATTTCAATATAGGCTTCCACCACTAAAGGCTAAATCCAAAAGGGAGCTCTGGTTTACTTGGTGATGTAATTAACCAGGACAGGCTAATCCTTTGAGCACTACAGTAAATAAAGGTTTTGCCAGATAAGTTTCAAAGTTACGGATACAGAAGTCAAAAAATCTTTTTACTGATGAGGTTTTAACATAAGTAACTACAAAAAACTGAATGTCCCTTTAGCACTTAGAACTAAATATAACTAAAGCAATAAAGTAGTTTTATAACAGACAGTTATCTTTTCAAGTTGCATCAACTCTGTTCTAAATTGAAAAACCTTTAAGTGAAAAAACACCAAATTGTTACCACTAATAAGTGAAAAAACTGGAAAGTGATAATTACATGCATAACTGACGTTAAACATAAGTTAGTCTGTACTTTAATTCTAATTATAAATTTAATCTTTGCAAAATTGATCTTGTTAGTAAAAAGTATGTGTTATACACACATAGGATTGCTGCCTTTTCTTCCTTTGCAGTTTTAATGGCACTTCCTTGATATGACTACTGCAATTTCTGTGTTTCTGTCTTATCGCATGCACAGTAGGCCTATGGTAGCTTATTAAAGGCAAGAATTCTAAGTATCCCTAATGCTTCCAACAGCACGTCATGTACAGCTGGGGCAGAAATGTTCCCTCTGCAAGTGTGCAGAAGAGAGTTAACATAGCAGACCTGACATTACTACCCTTAGGAAGGCCCGCTTACAAGGTTAGCCCTTGGTGAGCATCTGGGAACCTCGTTTTCAGGAGTGTTCCTGCCTTTTCCTAACCAATTAGGGTGGTTTACTGAGCCCAAATTGTTTGTGCAAATAATCTGGTTTATGCTAAACACCTCTCTCTTTCTGAAATTTTGGCAGACGATGCCTGTGGCCAACCCCAATAGAAATCCTGGGTGTTGAGTCTTTAAGGAGCTTCCCAGGTACGCATATCACGTGTGTGGTCATTATTCAGTGCATGAGGAATTAAGTACATCTTGTGTGACTCTACTTGTGGCATACATAGATTAATTACTAAAATTCCATGGCACACACCAAAAATATTTTTTGCTGATCTGACAAAAAAACAGGTATAATTTCTGATTCATTCATACTGGACGGCTATTGTGTTGGCAGTTGTCATTTTTTATTTGACAACCTAAGGGAAAAGACCCCAGTGCCCCTGGCTAAACAGTCACATATTACATATTTCAAAAATTCTTGCCCTGGCTGGTGTGGCTCAGGTGGTTGGAGTGTCATCCCATAACTGAAGGGTTGTGGGTTTGATCCCCAGTTCAGGTGCAAAAGATCCTCCCCAGTCTGGGTATGTATGGGAGGCAACAAATCGATGCTTCTCTCTTGCAACCATGTTTCCCTCCCTCTCTAAAAGCAATGGAAAAAAAATGTCCTTCAGGGAGGATAAAAACAAAAAACCACCCCTGCAGCACACCGGTGGAGAACTGCGGCTCCACTGCGGAAGGATTCTTGGAAGCTTATACCCAGTCTCCTCTGGACTTCATCTCCAGCACCTTTCCCTGGACCGACTTTATTCTGTGCCCTTTCACTGTAAGGACTCACGGCCATGGGCACAACTACGCTGAGCCCTATGAGTCCTCCTAGCCAGCCACCACCCTAACGTTGGCCTTTGGGACCTAGGACACAACGGCAGATAAATAAGCATATGGCGCTAACTCCAAATTTGTCTCAGGAATTAATTTCCTACCGAGCTCAGACAACAGGCATACCTCGGAAACACTGTGGTTTTGGTTCCAGACCACAGTAAGGCAAGTATCTCAATAAAGCAAGTTGTATTCTTTTTGGGGGTGAAGGCTCTTGCCTTCAACTTGTAAAAAACACAACATCTGTGAAGTGCAATAATGCGAAGCACAATAAACAGGGCGTGACTATATTGTGCCTATCTGCACTGCCCCTTGGAATATCCACCAGCCATCACAAACTTAATATGGCCAAAGCAAAAGTCTTGATTTCCTCTACCATACCTTCCCCCCAAACCTCATCTCAGTAAAGAGCAACACTGGCCATCCACTTATGTCAAAAACCTAAAAATAATCTTTGATTTCTCTTTTTCCCTACCACCTCCCACTCAACCCCCATAAATCCTATCAGTTTACATGGCGGGGGAGGGGGGTGGAGGGGGGGTGGAGGTGGGGGATGGAGCAAATGTATCCGCAAAACAAACATTCAATAAACAGAACCTATTATCTTCTCACTGCTTCTGAGTCCCAGCCAATGACACCTCTAGACTGTATTAGAGCAATATCCTCCAAACTAATATCCCTGCCTCTCTTGGGATTATTGGCCCTAATAATCCATTTTCCAAACCAAGCCAAAGGGATCTTTTAACAATGTGATAGAATGAATGTATCATTCTCCTGCTTAAAATCCTTCATCACTGATACTCCCAAAACCCTCTCCCAACACCGACAAGACATATGTGACTGGCATCTGCCCATTTCTCTGAAATTAGCTGGGAGCTACTTTCCCCTTTGCTCAATGTGTTCTAACCTTACTGGCCTTCAGCCTGATCCTCTTAACACGCCAAGATTATTTCTACCGGACATTCCTACTTCACGCGATGACCTCAGACATCACTTCCTCAGAGGCCTTCCTTTACCACACTAGAAGAAATCCCACTCTAGAACGCCATTCTATTTTATTATATCCACATTCTCACTCTCTGCAAGTATCCTGTTCACTTATTTCCCCTTGCTGACCTTATTCATGGCTGCTCCCTACTGTCTGGATCAGTTCTTGGCACACAGAAGGTACTCAAATACACACTGAACGAAAAATAAGGTGAAAAACCATCTTCAAACTGAGATGAAAACAAGAAGGCATTTGTGTGGAAAACCAGATCAAAGTCTGGTTGCCTGAACCGCTATTCACATTGAATCTACCCTATGATCTTGGCGGCTTTCTCTGACTTGATTGAAAGGTTTGGCTTGGGGATTTTTTGGAGTGGGTGGCTGAGGGAAGAGGTAGGAAATTATCATAAAGAGATTCCTAATAAACTTTGGTCAATATTAATAGGTCAACTATCTTTGTCCATCAACTGGCCACAGGAAACCCTTCCAGAAAGCACTTCTTACTGCTGCTAAGCGACATCAGGCCTGCAGTGGAGTGGCTAGTCTTTCTGTTCTAACAATGGTAGGCGGAGGGGGCTTGGAAACATGGAAATCACAAATATAATACCCGAATAGGACCTTAAAAGAACTAGAAGAATGCAAAAATGAGTTTTTTAAAATTCATTTTTTAATTAAAAAGGACCAGGTTTATTTTTCCCCACAATGCCACAGAATATGACAAAACCTTTTTATACTTCCTTCTAGATAGTTTTAAGATGCTACCAAGTAAAAAAGGAATTTTTCAATCCTGGTACTACCCTTTTTTGGTCCCTTTCTGCTTGCCCTTTTCTGGATTTAGGGCACCTAACGATTATTGTTCAATTTTTAAATAAAAATGTTATACCTATTAACCCTACAGAAAACGATTCGTCAATTTCCTACACCCTAAATTAACTTACAAATTCATCAAATATTTATTGAACAACTAACTCTGTGCCAGGGCAGATCCGAATGTTGCCCGGCTCCTGGGACACCACTGGTGATTCCCATCAAGGCTACAGAAAAGGTGTCCCTGAAGCCACATGGCCCAGCAGCTCTGTGCCAGCCACTTCAGCAGGTGCTTGGGATACAGCAAGGAACAAAAAAAGAAATGGTCCTTCTCTTCCCAGAGTTTTATAGCTTAGTATATTTGCATAAAGGAGCAAAGCCCTTGGATCAGTCACTGTACTGTATATATTCAAACACACTTTTACTCTAGCCTCACAACTCTAATTAGGAAACTCAGGCCCAAACAGCTAAGTATCAGATATAACACCACTCAGTGCTGGAGGCAGAGCGGCGACCAATGACTAAGAAACCGAATCAATCAGCTCAAAACCAAAAAAAATGACTGGCTCCAGAATCATGGATCCAGAGAGCATTTTGATAGTTGCCAGATGGGGGGCGGGGGGGGGGGATGGGCAAAGAGGTGAAGGGATTGATAAGTACAAATAAGTAGTTACAGAATAGCCATGGGGATGTAAAGTACAGTACAGGAAAGGGAGCCAAAGAACTTACAGGAGTGACCCCTGGACATAAACAATGGTGAGGGGACTGTCTGAGGAGTGGGGGGTGCTGGGAGCGAGGGGGGCAAAGGGGGGGAATGAGGACAAACTGTGACAGCATAATCAATGAAATATAATTTTTTAGAAAGGCTGTCTCCAGTTTCAAATAGCTAGTCTAGTAGTTTGTTCTAAGCTGACTCTGTAATAAGGAGACAGCATTTATTCAAGTTCATAACACATTCTGTTTCTTTGGTGTGCATGTTCACCAAAAGAGCAAGCCAGCAATGTAGTGGACAAACAAAAGTCTTTTTCTGCATTTCCGAAAGCTATACGTCATTTGTTTCTTTTGGATGTCCCATTTTATTCCTTCCACTGTTTCAAATCTTTTATGGGCTGTCAGACTTATGTTCACATTTTAGACCTTTCATTTACAATTTAGACCCTAGAACAATTTTTAAACCACTAGTCTCCTCTGTGCCCTCCCCAATTTCCTTTTGTAAAGACGTTTACTTTTGTATGTTTACTTAGTAATATTCTAATGAAAAATAATTTTTCTCTGCTCCCCTTGGGCAACTAACTTGTGTCTACAGAAAAGTGATTTGTTTTTAAATGAACAAGTGATTTGTAAAACTTTTACTCTGATGGATGTTTTCTGAGATGTGTTTGGGGTGCTCCGTGCTCCAGTCCTGTCGGAACACACAGCAGCGGGAGAGGCTCCATGGGGTACAGCCAGAGCAAATATTTGCTTTCCACACTTGAAACTACCTTTGCACTTACAGAAATGACCACTATTTTTAGACATCTAGGCATCCAAAGGAACTAAAAATAAAGGCATAAGAAACTAACTTTTTTGTTAATAAGGTTTTGTTACTGGAAAATTCCCTTGTACTATTTGGCTTTGTTTTTTGACCATAAGCTAATGAGACATTTCAGCCAAACCAAGAAAAATACCATATTCAAGAAACTAATTTAATAAATGACTACATCTAGGGAAAAAAGATGTGTTTCGAGTTTTAGACTAAATCCCTGTAAAGCATCGAAATGTTTCCATGTCTGAGGTAGTTTTTAAGGGCCCAGCAAAACATAAAACCATAATTTAGCCTTTGCATCACTCTGTAAAGCGCATCTCTGTTAAGTACAAGCTGTCAATTTCCAAAAGTTATCTTGGAAAAGGAAGAAACAAAAAAGGAGGAAAGGTAAAGTATTTAAAAACTAAACAAAAAAAAACAAGAGACAACATACCTGGCAACATGAGAAAAAGCATCCACAAGGACAGATTCAAATTCTCTAGTGAACTCAGGTCCTTTCCTTTTACTGTTTTGGATGACATCATTTGCTAAGTACAGAAAAGTAAGCTTTCTATTTGATTTGGCTGGAAAGAAAAAAAGAAGATAATTTAACTTACACCGAGGAAATTAGCAATCCATAATTCTTTTGCCCAAAGATACTCCTAAAAAAATTAAGACAAGCATTATCTACTTGAAATCAAGGGTGCTGTATGTATGAAAAACAACCTGAAGGTTTGAGAATACCACTTTTGTAAAAAGCAAAGTGAGAACGGCCCATCTTCATTTCTTTGTTATTTTAATCAGGGTAATTAGCAGTAAAATGAAATAATGTAAAGAAAACTCTTAGAGGGTAAGCAGTCAACATTCTCCAGACGACATGTTAAAACCAAGGTTTTCACTTATTCTATTGCAAAAATGAACTTTTCTAACTCACAATTAATTATCAAATACTGCTGAATGAAAGATTGAGTTAGTTTCTTGTAATTTATGCTCCTAGACGGAGAATTTCCCTTTGAACACTCAAATAACCATCATCAGTCATTACATCAACTCTACAACCCAGAGGAATCTCTAGGTGCAGCAATGATATTTATCTCAAATACAGATAAACACTAATGCTACATTATAAATGAAAATTTACACATGTCTGAAATCTGGATATGCAAAATTATGGCTCCCACAAAAACTGTAATTCTTCTCTCTCATACATACTAAATGTAGAGTTTCCTTCTACTCTATATGGTATCATATATTAAACCATAAAAACCTCACGTAATATATGAGTTACAGTTGCTTGGGGGAACATTACTGAATTTCTTGGCTTCTATGCACATAACTTTTCAACCATAAAGTTACATCATTACAATTTTTGGTCCCAGTTTTCTTTTAAAAGAAATAAATAAAAACACAATCAGACAGTTCAAAACATCTGAAAATCTCGAGCAAGACCTATGTCAACCTCCATACACACCCAGTCCTTACTGCATTTCTCTCAGAAACCACTAGTTTCTTTTGAAATGCACACAGCATATATAAATTCAGACATAGCAAGGCATAAGATGCGACTTTTTTTTTAAAGACTTTATTTATTTATTTTTAGACAGAGGGGAAGAGAGGGAGAAGGACAGGGAGAGGAACATCAGTGTGTGCTTGCCTCTCATGTGCCCTCTATGGGAGACCTGGCCTGCAACCCAGGCATGTGCCCTGACTGGGAATTGAACCAGCCACCCTTTGGTTTGCAGGAGGGCACTCAATTCACTGAGCTGCACCAGCCAGGGCAGATCTGACATTTTTAAATGTAGCTACAGAAGTATAACCCAAGTTGAAAACAAGACTTTAAAAGCATATTTATGGCTGAAACTGGTGACTTAAAGTGCTCCAAAAAATTAAATATGGATGTACCGAATTGTACTAACCTTCTGGTAATAACCTAATTTTGATGGCCATCTGATGAGAACACTGAAAACCTAGAGCTGTGTTGCTACAAAGGTATGAATGGCAAAAGTCTTAAAAAAGCAAACCTTCTTCCAGGATGTTGGAGCAAGTAGAACTACCCAGTCCATAATGCCATAGACTTAATGCATTTAGATATAAATGCATTTACATCTAAAGTAAACAGAACTTCAGCAAAGTAAAACTGACTTCACAAAAGTGAAGCATTACAAATTCTATATAGTTATGTTTAAAAAAAAAAAAAAAAAGGAATCCAAAATCCGTATCACAAAACGCCATGGACATTCCAGAAAGACCTGATATGGTTTTCAGTATTACAAATAGGACAGCTAACAGGCGAGAGAGCCAGAGTTTTCAGTCAGTATCTGCAGTGCCAATTAATTTTCATCATTCTTAAACTTGGCAAGGGGGGCTTATTTAGGATAAAACTTTATCCCTCCACATCCTGAACAGACAACATAAGCACCATGTGCATAAATAAGATACAACAAAGCCCAAGAGCGCCTGAACAAACCATCGAACAAACCATCGTAACATACACAACACACGCCCTCTACTCCAGCTCCAAGTGACAGCTCACTTATTCAGATGTCCTTCCACCGGGACAAAATAGATCTTTTCACACACAACCTAGGCCCCTTCCAAACTGGATGAAATAGTTATTGAGCAAGGTTTAAATAACTAGTTGGCCAAAAATTTTCACTTGTTTGGCTGGTTTTGACACCTTCTTAGAAAAGTAAGTTTAAAAACAAAGATTACTGATCTGCTTCAGGCCAAGATACAAAAACACTAGTAAAAAATATTCAGCTAATATTGAGCATTTTATACCAAACTGAATCATAAAGGGGAGAAGTTCCTAGGAAGTGGAAAGAAAAACAATACAACAGCAATAGACATGGTATTTGAGCAAGGAAAAATTTTTTTTAAAGTCTGGTAAATATTTTGAAGGCAACTCAGAGATAGTCTGCGAATATCTTAGGGAAAATGACTTGACCATAGACAGAAATGTACACTTTTAACAGGGTGGGCCAGAACCTACGAGGCTGGTCAATTTGAACATTAGGGCACAAAATCTTTTCCACTTTAGCATGGGGGCATTTTCAACTTACGAGGGAAGCTGTATCCTGATCCTTGTAAGAGCATCCTCCAGCTCTGCACTGTCCAACATGGTGGCCACTAGCAACATCAGTGAACACTTAAATTGTGGCTAGCAACATCCAATAATTAAATTTTTTATTGTATTTATTCAAAACTTGCATTCCTTAGTCATACATTTCAAGTGCTAAAGAGCCACTGGTGGCAAGTGGCTACCTTGTTGGACAGCACAGATGTAAAACATTTTTTTTAAAGATTTTATTTATTTATCTTTAGAGGGGAAGGGAAGGAGAGAGGGTGAGAAATATCAATGTATGGTTGCTCCTGGTGCATCCCCTGCTGGGAACTGGCCCCTGCTGGGAACTGGCCTGCAACCCACGAATGTGCCCTGACTGGGAAAGATGTAAAACATTTTTAGCATCACAGAAAGTTGTATTAGTGCTGTTCAGTCAAAATGTCAGAGACCATGATTTAACTCCTAATCTATTTTTTTTAAACTGTAACAGGCACCATGCTCAATACTGTAGGTGTTACAAAGAAACAAGAGGCCTAGTTTCTCCCTCAAAACACAACTTAGTGTAAAAGACATAACTAGCAAGAATAAGATATAGTACATAGTCCCTCAGTATTATCCATGGGGGGGATTGTTTCTAAGGCCCTCCCACCCCCCCAACCCTGCATGAACACCCAAAGCCTAAGATACTCAAGTCCCTGTATAAATCGATATATACTATTTGCATATCCTAAGCAAATCCTCCCATATATTTTCAATCATCTCAGGATTACACACATTACCTAATACAATGTAAACACTATGTAAATAGTTGTTATACTGCATTATTTCAAGAATGACAAGGAAAAAAAGTATGCAAATGTTTAGCCCAGAAGCATCCCTCCCAGGCCTAACTACACAAGAGAACACGTCAGCAACAATGTAATTTTTCTCTGGAATATTTTCAATCCACGGTTGGATACAGAACCTATGGATACAGAGGATCAACTGTAAATGCTAAATGGGTGTGGAATGGGATGCCGTGATTAATTTTAATGAACAAAAACACTACAGGTTAGGTTGGAAGGTTATGATCACCTCCCCTTACTGAATGCAGGGAGGTCCGAGGTACTTGAAACACCAGTTTTGGGGTCAGAGAGCTCTGGGATCCTGCCCCAGCTGTGTGCTCCTGAACAAAGCATCTCTGTATCTTTATCTTCTCATCTGTCGAATGGGGGTTAATAATGTGGGCCCGCTTATAACATAACCTTCCATATGTGATTTGGAGTAAAGGAGCTTCACAGATAAATGCACTCTGTAAACTGTTTTTTTCCTGTGCTTTTGTTCTTGTTTTTGAAACTCAAGCAGGGTAAGGTGGGGTAAGCCCAGAAGTCTTCACAACCAAGAAGCCTTCACAAATGTGATATTTGAGATGGACTCTGATCTGTCTCAGATCCTACCAGATAGGATCCTGCAGAGGCGATTCACATTTTGTTCACAGCTCAGATGTTGGAAATATCTGAATGGCGCGATGGGGTACATGAAGCTAGACTCTACCCTGCAACTGCCCTGCCCAGAAAGCTGAAGAGACCCTTGATATTTGGGAGTCTCTACTAGAGGGCTAGAGCTGGGTCTCGTGAAAGAACTATGAATTTGGGGGTCTGCCATCCTGATGCAGTCCCAGCCTCACCAGTTATAATGCCTTAAAAATACCATTTAGCCACTTCAGTTTCCTCATCTGTAAAACAGGGTGGAATCCCTACCTCGCAGATTACAGTAGAGAACACAACTGAAGTGGATTCCTATGCTCTGAAGGGCCTACCACACAAACAAGCTGTTGGAAACAGCTCAAATCGTTGGGCCCTCGGCTTCACTATGGAACCTGCCGGAGCATCAGACAGCTGTGCAGGCCACCACCTTTCCCCACCAGCCTGTAAGCAACTTGAAGGTGAAGACTGTGCCTCACACTGAGTAATCTCTAATCCCACCTCCCCACTATTTATCCAGTGCCCACCAGGTGCTGGACATCAGGCTCCATTTTCATAGGGATTATCCTCTTTACTCTCCACAGCAAGCTGTTTGAGTCTCAGATTTTCCTCATCTGCACAATTTCTACTTAGAATTTAAGAAATGGCAATGTATGTAAAGATATCAGTACTGTGCCTGGCACATAATAAAGGCAAGTAAATATCATCTCCATTTTACAGGTAAGAAAACAGAGGAGCAAAGAGGTTAAGCCGCTGGGGTCAGTAAATGTCCAACATTTTGACTAAACATTTGACCAAGTGAGGCTTAAATTCCAGGTAGTTGGCTGCTGGAGCCAGCATGCTTTCAAGCACCCAACCTAGTGCCTGGCACACAACAGGCTGAGCTCAATGGATCATGAGCAGGATCTAGACTCAATGAAAGTCAGCCCTGGCTGGTGTGGCTCAGCGGATTGAGCATTCGCCTGTAACCCCGAAGGGTCACAGGTTCGATTCCCAGTCAGGGCACATGCCTGGGTCTTGGGCCAGGTCCCTGGTTGTAGCTGTGGGAGAAGCAACGTGTAGATGTATCTCTCACACATTAATGTTTCTCTTCCTCCCTTCCCATCTCTCTAAATAAATAAAACAAACAAATAAATAGAATCAATGAAAGTTGCATGAGAAGAGGTGGTGTGTGGCCCCTTAACCTCTCTATACCAGGAGTAGCTGCACCCACTTCACAGCGCTGTTCTTGAGAACTGAGCGCGAGGATATTATGCAAAGGTCTCGGCACAGTGACAGGCACAGAATAAGGGCTCTGAAAGTGGCAGCTATCCTTGTCCTTGTTTTACAGATGAGAAAACAGAGGCAAAGAGATGATGAAACTTGTCCACTATCGCTCAGCTAGTAAGTGGCTGAGCCAGGACTCGATCTAGGCAGTCTTACCCCAGAGTCTGCTGGCTCTTACTCCAAACGCCCAGTAAAGCGCCTGGCACACAACAGGCTAGGGCCAGTAATCTCCACAAAGTGCTGAGCCCTGCCAAGACAGTGAAAGTCACAAGTGTCCAGAGGAGCCCGAGGGGAGAATGGATGGCTGCACTGGGAGTCTGGGTCCTGGGGCCCTGGCCGGTGGAATCTCAGACAGGTACCTTAAACCTTCCCAGGCCTCAATCTCCTTTTCTGAGAAATGGGGATAGCACCGTCTCCAACCTCAAAAGCGCCATCAGAGGCCCGGGCCAGCAAAGCCAGGCTCAATAAAGAAGCTAGAGGGGCCTCAGCAGTGGGTGGGGAAGAGGACAGCCCGGGGAGGGTCCCAGAGGGTGGGGGAGGGAGTGTTTACCTTTGCGGAGCTCGCGATGCCAGACTGAGACGATGGGTCCCGCGTGCTTGCGGTGGTGGATAAGCCACAGAGACAGGGTCTGCACGCTCTGCTGAGAGTTGCTCAGCTCCGACAGCTTCTTTTCCAGCGCCGACTCCGAGAAGGAGGACATGGTGGCGACGGTGAGGCCCGGCGGGGAGCGGCCTGGGCCGCCCAGTGCGGCGGGAAGAGCGACGGCGCAAGGCCAGGGCCCCACCGGACCTCCTGCGGGACTCTTCACTGACTGACAGACAGCCAGGCGGACAAGGGGGGGAGGGGGATGGGTCTCCGCAGTAACAGCCGCCCGCACCGCCGCCACAAGATGGCCACCGACCTCTCACCCCGCCGCAAGAGCAGGGTCAAAGGGCAAGGGCCGGAGTAGCTGGACACTGCGAGGTCTCAGAGCTGTAGAAACGCGCCTCCAATGGCGACCTCAGTAAATCTCGTTCAGGGCACTTCGACAGCGACAGACGGGGAAAAGAACGCAGTTTGGCGGCCTCCGGAAGGCGCTTTGACCGCTCGCGCCCGCACGCCGGCGCAGTGTGTCTCACTGGAACCCTTTCTCCAAGTCCCGCGGAACCTTTCTGGCGCGGGGCGGCGCGCCAGTTACGCGTCACTTCCGGCGAGGCTGAGGAGGCGGGAGAGGGAAACACTGGAAGACGAGGTAAGAGAAGAGTGGCGGGAGCAATAGGGATACCAACAGGAGGGGGATCCAGAGGGGACACCGATGCTGAGAGATAATGACCTGGATATGTGAGGGGGAGTCTTCTCACCAGGCAGACTCTAGGCCGCACTCTTTCTCTGTATGCACCGCTCCCTGGCCTCCCTCCCCCCAAAACTTTTTGCTTCGCCAAGCCACCCACGTGTACTTTTCACGCCTCCACGCCACGGCTCTGGCTGTCCCTTCTCCAAAGGTGACTCCCCCCTTTTCTCACCTGATGAGCTCCCGTTGGGCTCCAGAGCCACACTTTAATGTCCAGTTCTGAAGTCTAGTCTGTGACAGCACCTCTACAGAACACACAGTCCTGCTCTTGGCTCTTACTCGGTTGCTTTATTCGGGAAAGTACAGGCTGGCTTTTGGGGGTCCATTTGACTGTGCCTCAGGTTTCATGCTAACTTTTGGCGGGCAGAGAAGTCAATGAAAAAATATTTCAGGTTCGGAACCCCTTTCCTTTCTAAAAACATGTTAAATTCCAGTTATCAAATAAATCATCAGGAAAATTTGTCCATCTTCTCTGAAGTTAGGTTATAGTAGTCATGTGGAATTTTAAACTTTCCTGATCATCGTAGAACTTAACCAGTTGTGGGCAGACTCCAGTTAGGAGATGGTCTCTCCTAGTTGATGCCTGTTTTTGCTTTTAATGCACTGTCTTGTAGTTCTTTGCTTAGATGCTTCTCTTCCAGACCAGACTCATAATCGTGGTCAATGTAGTGAGCAGTTGGTGTAAGCTAGACAGTGTGTTCACTCAGTAACTCATTTAATTCTTGGCAAAAGGCTGTGAGGTAGGGAGTATGTAATTCCTGTTTGGCAAATGAGGAAACAGGGTGAGAGAGGTTAGGAGACCTCCCCAAGATCACAAAGAAGATTAGAGGGAATCGATTGCATCTTATCTGTCGTCTTTACCCCAGCACCTGATTCATAACTGAAAGAGTGAATGTAAAAGATGAGAAGTGTAAAATCACACATTCAACATCTGATAATTATAACCTCGGGCATTAGTGTATCCATCTTTGTGTATTAAGTAACTGTCATATACTGAGTTTTTTTATACCAAACTACTTTGTATTAAGCACATTACATACATCCTTTTATTTAATCATTACAACAGTCTTTTGGAGTGGGGGGTTATTATCACTATTTGATAAGTGAGAAAGCATAAAACATGGGTGAGTAATCTGTCCAGTGTCACCTGGACAGAAGAAATGACAGAGCCAGGAGTCAAATCAAGCTTATCTGATGTCTGGTCCCAAATTCTTTGCTCCTGTGCCAGTGGTTGTTCATTCTTTCAGCAAATGATTTTGAACGTCTATATCTGAAGTATTACTCTAGGCAAACAGAATCCATGTCACGAGAAGCTTAACTTCTGTAGGGGAAGGTGGATAAACTAAACATGCAAGTATGAAATGAATCAGAAAGTGACAAGTGCTTTAAATAAAAAGAAAGGTAAGGGGGATGAGGAATGTGTGTGTGGCGGAATAGGAGTCTATCATGTATGCGGGTCACAGAAGGCCTCCCTCATATGGTTATGGTTAACCATATGACCATATGGTTAACCATATGACATTTGACCAGAGCCCTGAAAAAAGTGAGAGAACGAGCCATATGCCATGGGGTGGAATGTTGATCCAGACAGAGGGAAACCCAAGTACAGAGTCCTGAGGTTAGACCACTTTGGGCAGTTTTGAGGAGCACCACAGAGGACCATAGGGCTGAAGTGGTATGAACCAGAAGGCTGGAAATGAGCTCGGAAAGTAGCCAGGGACCATACTGCGCGGGGAGTTGTAGGGATATTAAGGACTTTGGACATTACCGAGTGGAATGAGAGTCCATCGGATGATTATGAGTAAAGGAGGAGCATTGTCGCTGTTAAGTAAAAAACAGATGGTAAAGGTGTGAGCGTAGAAGCAAAAAGACCAGTTTGGCAGCTGTCGTAATAACCCAGGTGAAATGGTAATGCACACCACGGTGTAGGTGGTAAGGAAGGTTCAGATTATGGGGATGCAGTGGTACCTCCGTACTCATCCATAGTTCATTCCAGCAAGTGGCAGGCAAGCAACAACTGATGAACCACTTTCTCTTACAGGGTCGTGTTGTGACTCATACAAGTTCTAGCAAGTGCAGCAAGTGGCAAGCAAGCGCTGAGTGCTAAAACGTTCTTTCTTATCTAAATATGACCAGTAATAGGTTTGATGAGTTCTGAAGCTGACAAATACTGAGGTATGATTATATTTTAGAGGAGGTAACAGAATTTGTTTACAGATTAGATATGAGGTATAAAAGATGAGTTTATACCACCCCAAGGTTTTAGCTTAAGCAATCATAAGAATGGATTTTTCCATTTACTAAATAGAGGAAAGAGCTGGCTTGGGGAATAAGAGCAGGAGTTTAGATTTGTCCAGTTGGAAATGTTTATTCAAGTAGAGGTGTTGTTTTGTAGGCGATTGAATTTGTGGGTCTGGAGTTCAAGGGAGGGATCTGGGCTAGAGGTATGACTGGGAGTCTCGAGAGCAAGTAAGTGCAGAAGAAAAAGCAGCCCACGTGACTGAGTCCTAGGAACTTCCGCACTTAGAGGTCTGAAAGGTGAGGATGGTATAATCCTGTGGGATTTTTTCCTTTAGCCTGTTAATATTTATTTACACTGACTGATTTTCGAATATTGAGCCAGCCTTTTATCCCTAGAATAAACCCTGGTTTGTTGTGATGTGTAATTCTTTTCACACGCTGCCAATTATATTTCCTAATATTTTGTTTAGGACTGTTGCTGAGGGAAATTGGCCTGCAGGGGTTTTTCCTTTAATTTTTGTATTGTCTTTGTTGGGTATGGTGGTATCAGGGTGATAACTGGCTTCATAAAATGGATTGGAAAGTATTTCCTCCTCTTCCTTTTCTAGAAGATTGTGTAGAATTGTTATTAATTCTTTTGTTTTGTTTCGAATGTTTTGTTTTATTTTTTTAATTGAAAATATTTATTTTTCTATTACAGTTGACATACAATATTACATTAGTTTCAGGAGTCCACCCCAGTGATTAGACATTCTGTAACTAAGTGATCATCCCAGTAACTCTTGTACCATCTGACACCATACATAGTTGTTAGAATATTACCAACTACTGTCCCTATACTGTACTTTATATCCCCGTGACTGTTCTGTAACAACCAATTTGTGTTTCTTAATCCCTTCACTTTTTTCACCCATCCCTCAACTCCACTCCCATCTGGCAACCATCGAAAAGTTTTCTGTAACTATGAGTCTGCTTCTATTCTGTTTGTTCATTTATTTTACATAGATTCAGTTGTTGATAGATATGTATTTATTGCCATTTTATTGGTCATATTTTTGTATCTTTTTATTTCCTTAAAGAAGACATTTTAACATCTCATGTAATACTGGTTTGATGGTGATGAACTTAGCCTTTTGTGTGCGGGGGGTGGCTGGGAAGCTCAATTCTACATAATAGTTTTGCTGTGTAAAGTAATTTTGGTTGTAGGTACTTGCTTTTCATCACTCGGAATATTTTGTGCCACTCCCTTACGACCTACAAAGTTTCTGCTGAGACATCAGCTCATAGCCTTATGGGAGCTCCCTTGTAGGTAGCTAACTGCTTTTCTCTTGCTGCTTTCAAGATTCTTTCTTTGTCTTTAGCCTTTTGGATTTTAATTATGATGTGGGCCTCTTTGGGTTCAACTTGTTTGGGACTCTGCTTCCTGGGCTTATTTTCTTCACCAGGTTAGGGAAGTTTTTTGTCATTATTTTTTCAGATAGGTTTTCAGTTTCTTGCTTTCTCTTTCCAGCACCTGCAAGATGCAATTGTTGGTATGCTTGAAGTTATCCCAGAGGCTCCTTACACTAGCTTAATTTTGGTGTTTCTGTTTTATTTTTGCTGTTCTGATTGGTTGTTTTTGCTTTGCTTATATTCCAAATAGTTGATTTGATTCTCAGCTTCATCTGCTTTACTGTAGACTCCCTATAAATTACTCATTTTAGCTAGTGTACCTTCATTTATGACTAGTTCTTTTTTTATGGTTTCTGTGTCCTTTTTCATGCTGTTGAAGTTCTCACTAAGCTCCTTGAGCATCCTTATAACCATTGTTTTGAACTCTGTATCTGGTAGTTTTCTTGCCTCCACTTCAATTTTGGAGATTTCTCCTTTTCTTTCATTTGGGACCTGTTTCTTTCTCTCCACATTTTGGCTGCTTCCCTGTGGTTGTTCCTATTTATTAGGTAGAGCTGCTACATCTCCTGGACTTGGTAGAATAGCCTTGTGTAATAGGTGTCTTACAGGGATCAGTGGTGCAAGCTTTCCAGTCATCTGAGCTAGGCGCTCCAGGTGTGCTCCTGTGTGGGCTGAGTGTGCCATCCTGTTGTTGAGCCTTGGTTGCTCTTGGCATCACTGGGAGGGCTTGTCTGTCCTGGGCCCATTGGCTGTGAGGACCAGCTTTGACTGCAGCAGAGGAACCGACCCTGGGGAGCAGGACCTGGGTGCTCTCCAAGTCCACCCCTTGAGTGTGTCACATGACTCATAGAGATGGTAGGGTTGTAATCCAGCATGGTCTGGAGCTGTTCACCAGGTACTGGCTCTGGTGCCTCCCAGGAGGTACAAGGTCAGCCACTTCCTGTGCCCTGCCCAGGGCCATCCGGCACAAGCTACAGAGCCATCTAAAGATGGCTGCTACTTGTGCTGCACTTGGAGGACCCAGGAGGAGCCTAGCTTGAATCAAGTCTGGCTGCAACCAGTGCTGGGCCTGGGACCATTTAGCAAGAAGTGTAGGGTACACAGAGGCTGGATGCAGCCTGTTTGAGATTTTTAGGAAAGTCCAGAGCATGAGACAGGAGAGGCCATTTGTATGAAAAAGCCTCTGGAAATGGCTTGTGTTGACCTGCAAGTTGGGTGGGGTGGGATCTCAGGGAAACGCCAGGCCCGGGCGAACAGTGTTAGCCCGG